GTCCCCCCCTATCCCCACCCCACCAGTGCCTCCAAACTTTTTTAAAGAAAAAATGTTAAATTTTTTTCACACCCTCCACCTCCACCATACCCCCACCCCATCCCAAATTCTTTTTTTCTTAAGAAATCAAAAAAAATTCAAAAAGAAAAGAAGTTAAATTCTTTTCACCCCCACCTTACCTCCACATGGACCCCCTACCCCCATCCCACCCCCAATTTTTTTCAAAAATCAAAATAATTCAAAAAAAAATTAAGTTAAAAAAATTTCACCTCTGCGTCCACCCCAGCACCAATTTTTTTTCAAAAGAATTCAAAAAAAAATAAAAAATTTCATCTCCCCTCCCCCACACCTCCACCAACCTTCATCTCCACCTCCACCCCCTAGTGTTCTTTTTTTTAAAGAAAATATGTGTGATCCATTTAAGTAAATATAAATTAAATGGATTCATTTCACCTTATATGGCTTGTAATTGGCACTCCTACTTTTCCATTGATTTATTTGTTCTTCGTCATCCAAAACATGAAGGCTAGACCTCCTCAAAGGCTCAAATTCTTATGTTGAAAAAATTACTTCGGATATACTCTCTCCATATCAAAATAAGTGTGTCGGTTTAGCTCATTTCACCCTGATTATAACATATAAAAGATGTAGTTTACTAAGTTACCTCTATTTATTATATGTTTCTTGAGAGTCGAGTACTATTAAGAAGTACTTTTTTAGTGCAACGGTGTAATTGGAAACAATTACTATGTTTTGTTTTGAATTCTAAAGCAACGGTGTAGTTCTTTGCTTGTTTTGATTCATTATAGCAGAGAATGGGATACAAACAATTGGTTTGTGAATTATTCCATAGAAGGGGTGATTATCAATACACATGTCGATTTCAATGGATTGATTCAATTGATTGCAATCACCTGAATATCGATATTTTCATTAATTCCTTGAAAATTTGTTATAAAATTGATAATGCATCACTGTCGATGTTGATATGTAACAATTTGGGATTGCGAGTATACATAGAATTCTTCAGAAAAAGATAACATTTAAAACTACCTGTTATACAGTTTAAGGCTTGACTTAGATCAATATAAACTCTTCATGAGAAAAGATGGATCAGTATACCAATTAGTTTAAACTAATTCACCCACAAAAGAGAAGTGAAAAAGAAAGTGAACAACAATGATAACATTTCAAAACTACAACGTTGAAATAGGATTAGAGCGATTTCAGCCATATCCAGACTTGTTTGGTAGTATTCGAACTAAAACACGGAGAACACAACACCATTGATCTTAAATATCAGCAACATCCATTTCAAAGTTTGCGCATAAGCAGAGGAGCACCATATTGTGGTTGAGTAGTAATTATTGCAACTGGAGCATGTGTATAAGACGGAGAGAGTTTGAAGGAGAACTTTTGTAGTATCATTGCAATTGCCATCTTTGCTTCCATCATTGCAAAGTTTTGTCCGATGCAAATTCGAGGTCCCCAACCAAATGGAATAAACGAGACCTGTCCTTTTGTTGCCTTTGACACTCCTTCACTGAATCTTTCTGGTTTGAATTCCTTCGCGTCTTCACCCCATAATTCCTTGTCATAATGAATTAACACTGTGGGTATAAAGAGTAGCACTCCAGATGGTAGACTCAGCTCCCCTAATTTGACTTCATGTTTGTTCCTTCTACGATATGTTGGTACTGGGGGGAATAGCCTTAACGTCTCGTGCAAGATCATTGTCATCTATGGAAAGAAAAATGTATTGCTTAAGTTGGGTTATTTTAAATTGTCTTACATAACGAACTTTCCGAAAGTACTTACAATTTTGAGGCGACTTAGACCTTCCAAATTTGGTTTTTCATTTCCGAAGACCTGCAAAACCTCCTCTCTGGCACGTACTTGCCACTCTGGATGTAGGCTCAACAAAATCATTGTCCACACGAGCAACACCGAAGTAGCCTCTTGTCCAGCAAAATAGAACAACTTGCACTCTTCAATCAACTCAATTGTTGTCATTCCGAATTCCTTGCTTCCATGTTGTTCAATTTCTTTCATATTGGATTCAAGTAATATGCCTAATAAGTCATTTTTACTAGTCTCCCCTGCTTCCATTGCCCTCAATCTTTTGTCAATGATACGCCTAATCGTTGTTTGAACTTGCTTTTCGATTGCCAGCATTCTTTTGTTCCTTTTAGTAGGCAAGAACCTAACAAAACAAATGTAAAAGTAAACAAGAAAAGTCATTTTAGTAGAAAGTAATGAACATGTGATTTTCCATATTATGTAGAAATTTCACAAATAAATCATTATACCTTGATCCTGGTATATAAACTGAACGAGTTATGTCAATTACATACTCAGCTTGTTCTTTCTGAAGTTCAAATACTATTCTCCCTTCTTCATAGCTACTCCCAAATGCGGTTCGAGAAATGACTTCACCTGTCATTAATTGAAGGTCTGGCCATACATCGAGCTCGACTGATGTTTCCTTTGGAACAATATCCTCCCATTTGCTAATCATTTCACTACAACTTTGATAAAACGCTGGCAACATATGCTGTACAAAACAAATTAATCGCCAAAACCAGTACTAGTTATCAGTAGTGGAGCTACATGTATTGAAGGGGCTTCAATTGAAAATTCGCCAATGTTCACTAAATTTAGTAGTAATAAGAATATGAAGTGAATATAACCTTTAACTTCTCAACATGGAAAGCAGGATTGATGATTTTTCTGTGTTTGGCCCATTTGTCTTCCTCAAGCAACGCAAGACCTATAGCCAATAACTTGGCAAATGGATTGGGATGAGCTTGCTTTTGGTACCCATAATTCTTTGTGAAAATCACTTTTACATGTTCAGGATCTGTGATTAACACTATTGGATATGGGCCCAGCCACACAAAAGAATTTTTACCTGAGAGTAATCCGTTCTCGATTAGGAAAAATATAAAAAAAAGAAGGGCTCTAATTTGATCTCAGCTGACAAGTAAGCACAAGTAAGACCGATTATCAACTATGAATTCAAAGGGCTCTAATTGCTTAGGTAATTGCATCAGTCAACTATAGTCTATAGAGCAGGGGCGGAACTACCATGGATCTGCCTCTAGGATGGAGCTAGGGTACTGAAAAGGGGTTCATCTAGACCTTCTTTATAGAAAAATTAAGCTACATATATACACGAACAGAAAAAAAATATTATTCTTTTAAAGACGAAGAATAAAAGAAACATACCATTTTTGTTGATGGAGTCAAGGAAAAAAGGGATGAGCCTTTGAGCTATATCATCATTAAAATTGATGGGCTTAGATCTAGCTTCATTGAGTTTATTTGTGAGTTCCTTCGAATCTCCGTAGAGTAATTTGTATGGATTTCCCTTTAGACCATTCTTTCTCAAGTATTTCTCAAGTTTCTTTGGCTTAAACCATGCCCAATTCAACACTTTCCATGTATATACCAACAAAATTGCAACACAAATTGCTGCTATGATTCTGTTGTAAGAAATCTCCATGAAATTAATAAGAGTCTTCTTTCTAGCTACTTTTTTTTACTTAGAAAAAAGAGGGGAAGTTAGCTAATTTTGTAACTTTTTAATAACATTGTTGAATACGCCTCCTCTCCATTTTCCCCATTTCTATCTTGGATCAGGGGCACATGACATACGTTAGATTTAATGACTAATATTTAATTGACCAAAGAAAATATCTAAGCATGATTTAGATGATAAATACATTGTATATTTAGTTCAAAAAATTATTGTAATCCCACAATCTTAGCAATAAATTATCTTGTCCATAAATATCATATATTACTAAAAGTGGGAAGAAACTAAGTCAAAAGTTGGATTACGAAAATACCCCTTACCTATTAATTTATTTACTTAAAATCATTTACAAAAAATATTTTTTCATTAAAATCAACTCCATAACTACACCTTTTCATTTTCATAACTTATATTCTAATAATATTCATTAATTTTGTGCCTTTAACTCACACATTATCATCTTAAATTAATATTATTTTCTACTTCTTTTTAGCTTCCATCAGTTAAAAGAACTTTTCATATTCTTTTACCTTCTATAAAATCAATAGTTTTATCCTTTGGGTCATTGTCAAATTATTATATGCTTTCTTTTTAAAAATACTCAATATTTGATGTATTTTTAGCACTTTCTGCAACAAAGCTATATTCTTTTTATATTAGTTTCTTAGACCTTTGTTTTGCTCTTAATAATTTTTGTTCTTTATTGTTCATTGCTTGCGTTTTCAGTCTTCAGACTTTGTTTTATATTATGCGACTTGTTTTGCTTGGTCATTTTTTGAAATTCTCGCATCTGCTCAATTGCTTCATTACCTTCTCTATCAATTTAAGAAATTTGTACTAATTAGTATAGAATCACGTGCACGCACGTGTTCGAGAACTAGTAGTCAAAAAAAAGAGAAGAAAGAAAGACGAATGTAATAGATTTATTTGTCTTCTTCATCCAAAACATGAAGGCAAGACTTATTCCTCAAAGGCACAAATTCCTATGTTGAAAACACTACTTCGAATATACTTTTTTCGTCTCAAAATAAGTGTTGATTTGGCTTGTTTCACGCTTATTAAGAAAAATAACAAATAAAAGGTATAGTTTACTAAGTTACCCTTATTTATTAGATGTTTTTTGAGAGTCGAGTACTATTAAGAAGAAGTAGTTCTTTAATTCAAGGGTGTAGTTGGAAACAATTACTATATTTTGTTTTCAATTCTAAAGCGATTCTTGTTTTGGAACAATTGTTTTTAGTTGCTAAAGCAACACTTATTTAGGGACGGAGGGAGTAAAAATTGAAGTCATATCTTCTTTAAATTAGATTGGAAGATTTGGAGATTGTGTTCTGTTCTATTTTCCAGTAGTTGTGGTCAGGGGCGGAGCCAAGTAAGGCTATCTGAATCCCCTTCCGTGAAAAATCTATTGTTTATGCATAGTTTTAAAAAAATTATATATAAATAGTAGATATGGAACCCCTTTGGCCTTCATGTATTTTTTATGTAATTAGATTTCGACCTTATGAAACAAACTTGGAGGACTGGGAGTGAACAATTTATATGCACAATTAAATGGAGTTTATATAGATTTTCGTTATACGGTTAAAGGCTTAACTTGGATCAATAGGAACCACTGATATAAACTCTTCATGAGACAAGATGGAGCATCATAACAAGTTTAAACTTATTCACCCACAAAAGAGAAGTGAAAAAGAAAGTGAACAACGACAATAACATTTCAAAACTACAACGTTGAAATTCGAAAAGAGTGACTTCAGCCATAGCCCAACTATTTAGTAGTATTCGATCCATTTCAAAGTTTGCGCATAAGCAGAGGAGCACCATACTGTGGATGAATAGTAATTATTGCAAATGGAGCATGTGTATAAGACGGAGAGAGTTCGAAGGAGAACTTTTGTAGTATCATTGCTATTGCCATTTTTGCTTCCATCATTGCAAAGTTTTGTCCAATGCAAATTCGGGGTCCCCAACCAAATGGAATAAACGAGACTTGTCCTTTTGTTACCTTTGACACTCCTTCACTGAATCTTTCTGGTTTGAATTCCTTCGCGTCTTCGCCCCATATTTCCTTGTCATAATGAATAAAGATTGCAGGTATAATGAGTATCACTCCAGCTGGTAGATACAGCTCCCCTAATTTAACTTCTTCTTTGTTCGTTCTACTAAATACTGGTAATGGGGGGAATAGCCTTAACGTCTCGTACAAGATCATTGTCACCTAAGGAAAAAAAAATGCATTGCATAAGTTGGAAGTAAAATTAGGTCACTTCTTAAAAAATTCAGGGGTCATGCCTTTCCGAGATATTTCAGGATCCCAGTCCGAACGATTTCACATTAATAGCTACTGGTTTTATCCTGATTTTATAGTTTTCTTGATCTTTGAAGTTTGATCTATGCAACGATCTTATGGAAAGTACTTACAATTTTGAGGCGACTTAGTCCTTCCAAATCTGGTTTTTCATTTCCGAAGACCTGCAAAACCTCCTCTCTGGCCCGTACTTGCCACTCTGGATGTAGGCACAACAAAATCATTGTCCACACGAGCAACACTGAAGTGGTCTCTTGTCCAGCAAAATAGAATAACTTGCACTCTTCAATCACTTCTGTTGTTGTCAATCCGAAACTTTGCTTCCGTGTTGTTCAATTTCTTTCATATTGGATTCAAGTAATATGCCTAATAAGTCATCTTTATTAGTCTCCCCTGCTTCCATTGCCCTCAATCTTTTGTCGATGATATGCCTAATCGTTGTTTGAACTTGCTTTTCGATTTCCAGCATTCTTTTGTTCCTTTTAGTAGGCAAGAACCTAACAAAACAAATTTAAAAGCAAACAAAGTAATGAACATGTGATTTTCCATATTATGAAGAATTCTCAAAAGTAAATTATTATACCTCGATCCTGGTATATAAATTGAACGACTTATGTCCATTATATGCTCAGCTTGTTCTTGCTGAAGTTCAAACACTATTCTCCCTTCTTCATAGCTACTACCAAATGCGGTTCGAGAAATAACCTCACTGGTCATTATTTGAAGGTCGGGCCATACATCGAGCTCGTATGATGTTTCCTTTGAAACAATATCCTCCCATTTGCTTATCATTTCACTACAACTCATATAAAATGCTGGCAACATATGCTGTACAAAACAAATGAAAATTAAAACAGAAAATTGAATTTTCTGTTTTTTTTTTGCCTAAATTCAATACAACAAAAAAGAAGCATATATAACCTTTAACTTCTCAACATGGAAAGCAGGATTGATGATTTTTCTGTGTTTTGCCCATTTGTCTTCCTCAACCAACACAAGACCTTGAGCCAATAACTTGGCAAATGGATTTGGATGAGTTTGCTTTTGGTACACATAATTCTTTGTCAAAATCTCCTTTACATGTTCAGGATTTGTGATCAACACTGTTGGATATGGGCCTAGCCACATGAAAGAACTTTTACCTGCCAGTAATCCGTTTTCGATTAGAAAAAAAAAGGCATAATACATAAATAAACACTCAATTTGATTTCAGCTGTCAAATAAGCACTCCAACTTTGAGGTTCAAATCTAGACACTTCAACTTGGTCTCAACTAGCAACTAAACACTCCAACTGATCTCTCCACTGTGTCTCGTAAACACCCAACACTAACGTGGCACATAAATTTTAGATAAACTAATCACATAGTGGAGACAAAGTTGAGGTGTTTAGATATGCATACTCAAAGTTGCAGTGTTTACTTTCCAACCGAATGAATAAAAGAAACATACCATTTTTGTTGATGGAGTCAAGGAAAAAAGGGATGAGCCTTTGAGTTATATCATCAGAGATATTGATAGGCTTAGACTTAGCTTCAACTATACTTTTTGTGAGTTCATTCAAATCTCCATAGAGTAACTTATATGGATTTCCCTTTAGGCCTCTTTGCCCTAAGAAATTCTCCAATTTTTTTGGCCTAAACCATGCCCAATTCAACACTCTCCATATATATACCAACAAAATTGCTACACAAATTGTTGCTATAATTGTGTTGTACAAAATCTCCATGAAATTTTATTTTTCTAGCTGTTTATTGTTACATAGAAAAAAGAGGGGAAAATAGCTAATTTACCTTTTTTTTAATTTGTTGTTTGTTGGACTAGATAAGGCCTAGCTTTTCTCTCTATAATATCGAAGGCAAAAACATCATTGTCCAGTACTAATAAAGTCCTTTGTCCAATCTGTTTGGATCCATTCAATTTTGTGGGATTCAATGATATTATCTAGGGATATTAATAAACGGGTTTCTTATTTATTTTCTCGTGTTCTAAAAAATAATATTAATTTAAAAGTATTTATATATAACGAAATATATCCCTTGTTATACTGGAAGAGGTATATTTGGATGGAAGCTATAATGGAAGGAGTATATTTGGACGAAAAGTATAACGGAAAGGGATATCTAGACTAAAAGTATAACGAGATTGGTATATTTGAACTCAAAGTATAGCAAAGAATATATTTAAATTATTTTTTATAGTACAAGTGTATATTCGGTTGTTTATCCGTATATATAGTCTAGAAAAATACTATGAGAGGTGGGGATGGGGCCGTAGGGATTGTGAGGATGAAGATAAGGTGTGCTGGAAGGTTTAGAAGACACAATCAATGTGGAATGTCACTTGTGATGCTTGTTTTTCCTACTTCTACTACAAAAGTCATATTTCAGCTCATTTTTACGTAACTTGTTTTCGTAGAGAAAATGTATTCCAAAATTTTGACCAATCAAAAATGAAAAAACTGAAATTCCTCCGTGCCGAACACACCCATATAAGTTTAAAAAAAGTGTTATTCCTCTTAATTTTACAAAACATTTTTTACGTCATAAGCTATTGAAGCCAATCACATTTGCTCATGGCATACAGCTCAGTAATAAGATGTTTACCCTACCATGAATCCAAAAAAATTGAATTTTATTATTTTAATTTCATTTTAAACAATATTAAAAATTATAAATAAAACGT